GTGTGTGTGTGTGTATATGAATGAATGGTTGGGCTGAAATGGACTAAGCGCCTAAGTACAGGGTGAGATATTAGATTGTTCTCGATGTAGCGAGAGGGCTTTGAGAGGAAAGATCAGAACTGTTGCCTTCTCGCTGTAGCGAAAGAGCGACAGTTTGGGGTGCATTTTTGGGTGCAGTCTTGCTATAGCGAGATTCTGCAGAAACCAGAGTGTAGTTTTCTCTGATTTTTTCGCTGTAGCGAAAGGGCGTGTCGCTGCAGCGAGAATATCTCATTATAGTGAGAGTGTCGCGACCAGAAAAGGATTTAAAAGGGGTTAGGATTCGAAGAGAGTTATTTCTCCCTCTCCCTTCGAAATTCCTTTGATCCTCTCGTTCCCAAAGCTCTATTCCACCAATTAATTGCCTCCAAAGCCGTTTGGGAGTTTGATTGAAGGTTGAATCCGTGTGGGGAACGCTTGGAGGTAAGTTTTAATGGTTGGGGTTCCGTTTCTCATCCCCTTTTCTCTGTTTCGTGGTTTTCTTGGGTTCTCATGAAGTTTCTCTATGTGTTTAGGATGAAATCCGTGAGGGGAGCACTTCTTGGTAGATTTAGCGTGTGAGTCTTCAATCCAAGGTAAGGGGGGACTCTATCCTACTCTTTTGTACATGAATTGTTGTTGTTTTGCTGAATATTGTGTTGTAGTTGAGTTAGTGGGTAGGAAATTGCTGAGAAATGTAATGTGGGTCAAGTGCCGTGATGTGTGAACATTATGTGTGTTGACCTGAAATTGATGGATTGTATGTAAATGTTGTGTGATAAAATGAGGGCATGTATACCGAGTGTTTTGAATGGGTTTGGGCACTTGTGCCGTATAATATAAACGATAATTGTAGGTTATGTGTCGTGTGCTGTGAAATGGAATGTGGGTTATGTGCCGTGTGTAAGCATGATTACTGTATGCGTGAATAGAATATGTGTGATTGGGTATATTAGCGCCGTTGTAATGTGCTATAAATAGTTCAGTGATACACTGGGGATGTAGGAGATGAGAACGGTAGAAATACCTTGGGGAAGAAGGAGTGGTGGTGACGTCGACTACAGAACGGGTGCACCACGGGCCACACACTCTCTTCTTAATTAGACCTCTGACTACTATCTTTGCTGAGCGACCCGTAACTGTCCACGTGGTATCTGTGAGGCGGGAGTAACTGGCGACCATTCATGGTGTAAATCTGTGATCACAGTACTATAGTGAGTGTGGCTGGTATGCTTATGCATGGATTTGTGTTTTGTACTCATAGATGTGAATTGCTGCCTGTGATTGTATTTGTTGAATGTATTGGGAATGTTCTGAAGGTGAGACTCTATGTTGATTGTGTGTTTTGGGTAGTGTAAAGTACTCACCCTTACATTCATTTTTCAAGTAATTAAGACGATCAGCACCAGACTCAGTGAAGAGATGAATTGACTGCTATAGAACTTAATTTTTATTTTAATTTGTAACCTTTCCTTTATTTTGAAGTATTTTATGAAAATTGGTTATTTGAATTTGTGAAATTCTTATTAAATTAAAATTAAATTTAAGATGTTACACAATTCAAAGACAAATCACCTTACCAAACAATAAAATTAGACAATCTAAAAAGGTGATACAAAGATGGAATCTTAAAGTAAAGTATGACAACTCCAATATAATCTAATCAAGAAAACAATATATTCATACTAGAAAAGACACATACTATATTGACTCAAAGGAAAGACTATCCAAGTCAAAAGTTGAAAGTGCTACATTCAAAGATTTAAAATTCAAAGAACTACTGATCTTAAGAAATTGACTAAGAACAACATTGGAAAGAACAAAGTGATATTAATTTATAAAAGACAAAAGCATAGTTCACTACCTATTCTTGTGTATTTTACAAATATGGCAAAAAGAGCAAAAAAAAAGTAAAAGAAACCATTCTTGTCACAAAAAGGTTTACACATATCATAAATCATGTTGCAAAAAATTTCATTAAGTGTAACAAACATTTAGTAATATTTAACGTAAACTTAATCATATTTACTATAAATCAAAGACTCTTACATCAAAAAGAGTAAAAAAATAAGTGATCAAAAGCAAATATTATACAACACCAAAGAAATATTATTTTTGAATATTTATGTTTTTCTATGTGTATAGAGAAGATTGTTAGCAAGGGAATGAGTAAGGATACTTAGAGATTTTTGTTTGCTTAAAGAGGTTGTTTGTAAAAGAACACTTTTATTAGCCTGAAAACGCTTATGCAAAAATACTTGGATTGACAAGATATTTATGTATAAATCTTTGAAAAATAGCAAAATTCTTGACTGATATCAAAGACTAGACGAAACTAGTGTTAAAGGGGTGAAGTTTACATGCCCATTCTTTCTAACTTCATATTGTTATATTTCTCAAGTGAAACTATTTTAAAAGTTTCTAAAAATCTTTTTAAAATAGATTCAACTCTTCTTCTCTTGTTGAACCTCTTCACTTCTAAGATTTAACATGCTTTTCCTTTATGAATATAGTGGTGGTATTAGTAAGGCTTCTATGTAGAAAGAATTAGCTTCAACTTTCAGTTTATAAGAACATATCATTTTAACTGATACACCTAGTGGAATAATGTCTTTATCATTGTATAATAGAAGAATGACATATTTATTATTTGTTATCCTAATTCCTAGTGTAAAGAATTCAACTTACAACATTCATTAGAGAAGTATAAGTGACGTAATTAAACTTTTACAAATAACAAAATTAATATGGGATGAAACTCCAATAACACTTAAATATTGCTTTAAAGCATTAGATAAGAGTCTCAATGATATTAGGAGCTGCTCTAATAATAAAGGTCTACTTTTTTTAAAAAAAAGTATTTTTTGGAGATGACTTTAAAGTAATTGCCCATATTACTTATAGTCATTATGATTTAGTACATGCAACAATTAATGCTACTTACCTTCTTAGACACCATTGCTATGTATTAACATGGATGAAAGAAATTGCCAATACAAAAGCAATGCAAGAAAATTAAAATTTTTCCTATTGACATTAGATGTTAGAAATAAAAACTTCTCAATCAAACCTAAAACATTTCTTATGAAAAAAAGAAAATCAATGGATAATATTTTTTAAAAAAATTTAGCAGACAAAGTCACTATTTTGTTTTCCTAATATTTACTTAATAAGTTGTAAAATAAATTTAAAATTGTGGCATTTTAAATTTTATTCACTTAAAAATTATATTAACCAATAATCTTGGTAATTTTTTTTTTCGTTTGTTAATTTTTTTCCCTTTTAAAATGTTAGCTGTAAATAACTAATGCATATATACCTTCGTATCGTCAAGTTGATTATATTTAAATTTGATTCATATATATAATTCTATCTAAATTCATATTTGTGTTTGTTTATCTAATTAATTAAATAAATTTATTAATTATTTAATTACTCAAACTTGCCTAACAATGGAATTGGTTGTATCTCTAGGTGAGAATTACTTAAGAAGATGTTTCTTGGGGCATTCTGTCACTTTTTTTAAAAAAAATTTAAATTCTTATGTTTCGTATGAATATTTTAAAAAAGATTAACGTAAAATTAATATTCTAAAAATATCTTTAATTAAAATTTTGAAAAAATTATTTTCATGAGAACAGTGAAAAATTAAAATTTTTATAATATAAAAATATAATTAATCTATTTGAAAGTTACTTAACTAGGAGATGAAGAATTTTTTAAATCCTCTAAATTCTCCAAATATTTTTTTTGAGTCTTTTTATATTGGAATTTTTTTTTTCACTCTCCTACTCTTTTATAATCATGATTTTAACTCTTTTAAAAAAATGTTAATTTTCAAATGATATTTTTTAGAAAAATTTATAAAGAATAAAAATATTAATTTTAAAATTATTAATTTTTAGAGAAATAAAAATATTTATTTTTTATTTTGAAAAAAATAAAAAAGATAAAAGAATATAAATAAAATATATAAAATAAAATAGTATCATTTATATAATTAAACCCGTATCACTATCTCCTTTCAATATTAAACATTTAAATAATGAAACATTACTTAAACCCATATCATCCTCCCTTCCCCCTTCAAACACTTTTACTCTTTCTTCACGTTCTCAAGCCTTATATTCTCAAATTTAAACTTACACTTAGATTATGTTATATGTCAATTTTATCATCATATATTTAATTTTATTTGCTTTTTTATTATTATAATAAAAAATTACTTAAAGCTATTGTGATTAAAATTTGATAACCCTAAACTCATGTTAACTAAATTAGGTGACAATGTCATCATATATATATATATATATATATATATATATATATATATATATATATATTCAAAAAAAAGTCATAATTCTTTATGTTAAGTTTTAAATTTAGATAATAAAATCTCTATATTCATATAAATACATATAGATTTAATATGAATTTTCAAACAAGCAATTGAATTAATTAATTTTATATAAAATTATTAAATGATATGAAAATTATAATATATATATATATATATATATATATATATATATATATATATATATATATATATACACACGGAAGTAAGTAGAATTCCAATTTTTAGTGCTTATTAATAACAACGCAATGCAATTTTTTGTAAAGATAGGTATCCTACTAAGTATTTGAAAATAATGAAAAATCAGAAAAGAAGAAAAAAATTATCTCACTCTACCTAGCTACGAATCACCATAATGTAATGAATTAAGGTATACAAAAGAAACTTTGCAAATTTTCATGGGAGAAACCATGTCATTCGAATCTTCCAACGGTACTAATTAAGCGCCAATCGCATTGATAACATAGTAAGTGTGATTAGAATGATCGTTCTAGTTGGAACAAGTATTTTGCATGACATGAGCATATGCAACAATAAATACAAAACCTTGGCAAGACTCCAACATAGTATAGCAAAGAAGTGTTCACTTAATTAGGAAGTGGAAATAAAGGGCAAAAATTCAAAGATGAAGTTTTATAGTTACAAGGCAGTGTCATTATTGTGGCTTTTGTTGAACGTGGCAACTTTGGTGGCACAAGTTCAAAGCACTCCATGCACAAGCACATTCTTTTCTGCTCTTGTGCAACTCATTCCCTGTAGGGCAGCAGTGGCTCCTTTTAGCCCAATTCCACCAAGTGATGCTTGTTGCAATGCCCTTAAGGCATTAGGGCAACCATGTTTGTGTGTTCTTGTCAATGGCCCTCCAATATCTGGGGTAGACCGTAACATGGCCTCACAGCTTCCAGAGAAATGCACAGCTAACTTTGAACCATGTGATTCCCTCACTCATACTTGCTTATTATTATTATTATTATTATTGGAATTTGAAATTTTCTTTTAAATCCTCACTTATAATATGTAAAATCATTTTTTGTTCTTTGGAATTGTGTTTTCTAAGAACTGCACATTTTAATTGGAATTACAATTTCTAAAAATGTTATAAATGTGTTTAGCATGCTTAAAATATTTGTAAGAATATTTTTATAAATATGCCTAAAACTTTTTCACCTTCATAAGAATTATAATTTTTCACTATTTCTATATGATTTTTTTTGTTAATAAACATATTTGTTAATTTTCTATAACCACTAGTTCAAAAAATACTTTCTACAATAGGATTCTACATCAATTTTTTGTGAAACGATGCACAAATATTTTTGAAATTTACGCACACTTTTCTACGTCAGTTGTCGAAAGAACCAATATAAAAAATACTTTCTACATTACTTGTTGTTCATAATAAATGATATAAAAAGTTTGTATTTACGCAGTTATATTAATTCTTAACAACCGATATAAAAAGTCTTTAACTTTTTACATTGTTGGTATGTACATTGGACATGGAAGTTTTTTTAACAAATGTGAAATTTTTTTTTATTATTAGTGAATGTCTTTTAATATATTCATACTAAATATTAAGAATTTAATATCTTTAACTTATAATTTGTAAAAATAAAATAAAAATTAGCGAAACTTTCTACTAAATATCTCATAAATGTCTGTATAACAATTTTTGTGGGGATCACGTAAAATCCTTTCCAAAACATCATTGACTTTGTCATTATTAACCTACAAAGAAATACCACTAACATTGAATGTGAATCAAGTTTTCCACTTTGGGTTGGAAATGGCTTAATTCCCCTTAGCGTTTTTGACTTTGTCATTATTCTTTGCCTCTTTATGCAGGTGAAATCATGTGATAAAGTGAAGACGGAGCATGAAGCTGGAATGCTATTAGAAATAAGTGATTTTATTTTTAGTAATAATAATTTACGTAGTACTTTTCATGATAACATTATACGAGATGAGACTGTAATTTGTTCAATTAGGTCTCAATCTACGTGCTTTTCTGACTGTTCTCAGTTACGGTAGCAAATTACTCGAGTGAAAGCATGGTTAAAATTATTTATAGAAAATGTATTCTGATTCTATTTTTCTTTGTCTCTAATTATTCTTTGAAAGGATTAAATTGAAAGCGGACCATATTATTTTACAGAGACGAGGGTTAACAAAAGAATAATTTATTTATATAGTTATATCTGTCGATAAATATTAGTATATACCAGTAAAATTCACTCGAAAAGCAACAAAAATTAACATCACTAAATGCGAAGTTAGGAATAATAATAATAATATACGAAAACAATATAAAATGACCAGAAGAAGACGAAGAAATAGCATACATATTTTTAAAATTATCAGGACTAAAATGTAGTAGAGAAAAAAGGTAGTACGAAAACAAGAAACAATTAAAAGACTAAAATAAAGAAAAGGGTAAGAAAACCAAAACAAAATAAAAAATAATGAATAAAGCTAAAAGACCAAAGTAAAGAAAAAAGAAAAAAAAAGGAGAAAAAAAAAAGACAACCTATTAAGATTTTAGAAATACATTTTACAAAAGGTAGTGTCTCAAGTTAAATTCTCACAAAGTTAGATAAAAATACAAGGATAAGAGAAAGATATGTAAGATTTATCCTAATTCATTTTATAAATATGCTAGTTTACTTTTAAGTCCTTGTCACCATAAATGGAATTTTACAACAAAGTGAAAACTTATGTGGACAAGTTTTTTCAAATTTATATGTGAGCTTTTTCACGCATATACATTTTAAGAAGACAATAAAAAAATAAAACAAGGAAAATTTAAAGTTTTAATTATCATAGCATAACAAGAGAACAAATTTTAAATTTGGATAATTTACCGTTAACAAATTTTAATAAAGTTTTAAATTCGATAATTTACCGTTAACAAATTGCCTTTGTGGACCCCCTTAATACTGAAATCATAAAATTTTAATTATCATAGCATAACAAGAGAACAATAGCACGAATCCAGAGAAAATGATTATTTAGTATTTAAAGTTTTGGATGATAAGAGTGTTTTGACGCAGAAAACTACCTAGTTTACCCAAGCCCCAAAAGTAAAGCCTAAAGGGAAGTTCCTCTATATATGACAGGAAAAGAAATCATAATTAGCAACTTGGCACCCTTTGTTGTGTTTAGGGAAAACATATATACAGCAGTGACTAGAATACTAGCCTACAAGTGAAAGAGGGGATTACCTTCTCTTCTAACCATAAATGATTCAATTGTGATCGTTAGCTATGACGACAAATATTCCATACACTCAAAAAGAGGAGGGGTCAAAAAAATTGTCAATCCTTAATGCTTATTCCTACAAAACTTCAACAGCAGGTGGCTTTCCCGCCCAGTTGAGCATGAGTTGGTAACAAATTACCACCGGAAACTCTTGCAATGTTTTCAACCAGAAGCAGATGCAGCTCTCTGTTTATCAAAATCCCCTTGCTCTTCATTGGCAAACTCTTCAATCAATTCCCGCTGTCTCTCTGTCAGGTTTCTGCAGAACATCACACAAAAACAGGCATATTATATTCTAAACATTCATCAGACTATCACAAAGAAGTATCTTCCACTAGAAAACCTGAACCTAACACCTCGAAATTATGTTTAGTACAGAAGTTACAAGACAAACTTTTACCCAAATCACTGTTTGGAGCTCTTTACAAATAGAAATCCAAACAGGCACTAAGTAGTTCATTAATTACATTCAACAATATTAAATGTAACACTCACGTTGGAATGCTGACGTTAAAATGAACGTATTGATCCCCAAACGTATAAGAATTTTTTGTCTTGATACCTGTTCATAGAAGAAACAAGTTAATAATGATTAAAAGATCACCTTAAACGGAACAATTTAATCCATGCAACAGGTTCATGGATTTGCAAATGTTTTCACACAATGAATTCTGAAAACAATCTGTCAAATTATCCATAACAAGCTTACCTTTCTTTTTCAGAACCACCTTCTGACCAGGTTGGGTGCCAGGACGAACCTACCAAACAGGACCCACAATTCAAACTTCATCAGTTACTAAAACCCAAATGCTCAGATAATATTGCAATAGCAATACAAACCTTAAGTACGACATCTCCAGTAAGAGTTGGAACCTGAATGGTTCCACCCAAAATTGCCTGAAAAAAAAAATCAGTATTCAGATAACTTTTAAGTGATATTAAGTATCCTATAATGCAACACAAAAAACTAATGAGATGTTTGAGTTTGAGATCCTCATTCCTGAACATTAAAACATGTACAACAATAAAACTTCCAGCAAACCATCACTGACAATAAATGAATGAATAAATAAATCTACCAGAATCAGCCACACAGATATTTACTAGGTTCTCAATCACAAATCCAATTAGATGTTCAAAGCCTCAAAGTTAATCAGGAAAATTTCAAACTACCATGCTCTCAAACCCACTTTTTTCTTGTCAAAAGATATAACTGGCAGAGCTACTTGATTTTACATTTTTCCTAGCTCTTTTGACTCAAGATGTAAAACCAGAAGTCCACAGGAACACATTTAGTTCACCAAATGATATTTTGTAGAATTGAAAGAGGGAAAAGGGTGAATGAGTTAGAATGGAGAGTCATTTGAATTCCAGGCTTCTAGCATCATGACTACATTTAATTCTTATATTTGCTATTTGGTACCTCAAATCACATGGGATATATAATAAGAATTGTAACCAAAAAATTGTAAACAACCCTCCATAACATATAAAAAATGCATATTTTTGCATCATTTCTACATAATTTAAATATTAAAGAGTAATGTTATACTTTTATTTCTGGTTAAATATTTTCCTTAAAATTATGGCATGTATTGCAGATTAAGAAAACATGCGGAAAAAAAGTAACACTAATTTTCATTGAATTTTACTAAAGCCAAATATTTTCTTTGAATTTTCTTCTAGATATCTTTCATGAACTAACAAATTATTTTTGATAATTCATTGCTTTAGTGCTGGGGTAAAGTGAATTACACAAAAAGGCTTCTAGGTCATATCAATGTTTTTCTATCTAGGCCATGCAACCAATTTGCCACCCCATAATTTTTAACTAAGTGTGTTTGGAAAATACATTTGCATCTTTAGAATCAAGCTGAAAGGATGTGAATGTGCTCTGATTATTGTGCTATGTATGGTTGGTCTAAAACACAATTGATTTTTCCTCTAAACCCACATTTTAAGTAGACGTGATAAATAATAACTTTTATCTTGAGCTGAAAACATTATTCTAAATTTTACTATACACATGCTTTATTGGAAAAAAAGTGTCCAAATATAAATCTATTAAGTTAGAAGAAGGGAAAGGAACGCAAGCTAGGGTGGTTCTTGTAGTTGGTTAGTGGAAGAGGTTAGTCAGTTAGTTAGAAGAGGTTTGTGAGGTAAATAAATGGGATTAAGATTTAAAAGAAAGGGCAATGGGATCTGTTCTCATTAGTAAACTGAGTATCAGTTCTTTGTGAAAGGAGAACCCTTGGAGGAGAGGTCTGATAAGAACCTTGGGAGCAAGTTGTCAAAATCACAAGTTGGAGCGCTGAATCAAGGATTCAATGCTTTTCCAACCCTCCTCCAAGTCACATGCCAGAATGACATGATTTCCCTTTTGGAGTGGACTGGAGCAGCATGCTCCAAACACATCAAAACCTGTGCTCAGCCAAACACTGTTACCACTAACAAAAATGCAGGCATAAGTCAATTGAAACCTGAAAAGACTCAACTAGGACATAGGTTCAAGGTATTTTCAGTAAGGAACATTACCTGAGTGATACTTAAGACAGCATCCACATGAATATGAGATCCTTCTCTACGGAAGACAGGATCTTCCCTGACCTGCAAGAAGGAAAAGGATAAAAAATTATTGGCCTTGTGAGAAGATATAGAAGAAAAAAGGAAATGATTACCAAGCTATGAAGAGATTGAAGCTTTACCTTGATAGTAACATAAAGATCACCAGGTTGATCTCCATCAGGATCTGCACCACCACTTCTATAAACCTTTATGGTTTCATTATTGTCCATCCCTGCAAATGAACAAACATGTAAATTGATCAACCTTTTCTCATAAGTCATAACTAAAACAATTGTAAGTGAAAATTGATTTAACAGGAAGAGAGTTGTCTTTTTTGCTCCAATAATTGGTATAATCAAATTTATCAAAAGAATTATAGTCAACATAGCTCCAATTTATTCAAGTCAGTGTTGCAAAGCATCAACTTCAATATGCTAAAAATTGGTAGCTTTTTTCTGTTTGTTTCTTGTCAGATTAATACTAAAATAAAATGGCAAAACTCAGCTTTAGTGTTTGGTCTCTTCCTAGTTCCTACCAAACAAATTTTATTCTAAAAAGTAGAATCCTACAGTCAGTGGAGACTATACTATAATCTGTCTCGTTTAAATAAATAAATTGACAGAGAGATACATGATTAAAAAGAATATATTAAAATTAAATGAAATAGTAGGTAGATTGGCATACATTAGTGAGTGTGATGTGAACTATGAAGAACCAGATTGATAATAACTAACTATCAACTTCAGTAGACAGTGAGACTGAGTGAAATGTGGTTAGAACAATGCACAGGAAAATCCACAGGGAAACTACTCCATTCATTAGATATTTTCTCTTTGTATGCCATATCAATATGATTCACATGATAATAATGCATCCAAAAATTTAAAAAATAAAGGTTACCAGGCATAATATCCAATTTGACTGACTTTGTTCCTTTCAAAACCTTTGCACCCCTGCATGACTTGCAGAAATTCTGATGCCAACAAGAGAGAACAAAATTATTAATATTTTTACATAATTACAAGTAATTGTTCAGTAACTGTAAGACCACAATAACTGTATGCATATGATGAACCTCGCATTATTCATTGTATGATTTATTTAAAAAAATGAATGAAATCGGAGACCAAAGTCCCAAGATGGATTACTGCCAAAGAAGAGAATAAGTCTCAAGTCTCAACAACAAGCAAACTATGTGAATCACAGTTGAGTCCATATCTGAACTCTTACAATATAAACCAAAAATGATAGAATTAATATGAAAAAAAAATATGAATTTTGGCACCATACCGATACAATTTTGCCAGTTCCCCTACATGTACCACAAGTACTCTCCATCCTAAATATGCCAGCTTGTACAAATGTCTGAACATATAATAAAATGATCAATAAATGATCAATTTAACATCAACATCATCATTGTCATCAGCATAATAATCATAAATTATTAATGAAAGATAAATTTTCATTTCCAGACAATACTGACCACTCCAGATCCCTTACAGCGCTTACAGGTTTCAGGTCTTGTACCAGGAGGAACACCACTCCCACCTGCAGTAGTTGAGCAAAAGAAAAGATTTGAGTCATGACCTTCCAGGTGCACAGGCCTTACAATTTAAAATACATATATTAGTGGCAACTAACAACTCAGAATATAAATGTTAGTCAAATGATGAGCATACCACAAGTGTTGCAAAGAACTTCTGTTTGAAACGTAATATTTTTGGTGCATCCTTGGACAGCTTCCATAAAAGACAGTTCAATGAAAGTCTGAAAAATAGATGCATTTTCTCAAACAAGTCCTAGAAAACTTAACGATGTCCAAATATGAAGAGAGAAAGAACCTTGACATCCTCTCCACCGACATTCTGATGAAAAAAGTTCTTGACAAAATCCTGATCACCATCAAGTAATTGCCAGGGAATTAAAAAAAAACGTTGTAGTCTTCAAATGTGGGATTTATAACTTAAGCAAGTTTTGGAGACTTTTATATTTAATTATAGAGCAAATAATTTTATAACAGTTCTAGTTTTTGCTACAATTCTAAGAACTGATGCACAACAAAACCAACCATTTACAAATTAAGATGCTTGACCGATTGGATGATTGTTTAAGCATGCATATTTCTACACAATTTAAAACTAAATAGATCATTTATTCCTTTGGATTGACTAGTAATTGATGTAGTTGTACAATTAGTGTTCGTAAATCACATTTAGCATTAAAGCTATATATAAAATTGTCTATTATTTCTATATGAAGTACAATTTCTAATAAGATTTCAGCAACAATACAGACTGGATTATTAAGAAGAGAAACAGGATCAGATCAACTAATATACAATTAGACATGACTAATAAAAAAGAACAAAAAACTAGAGTAAGTCATTACATGATCACGGAACATCTGCTCAAATGGATTAAAGCCACTGTCACCTCCAAAACCAGTGCTTTGTTGGTTTACATATGCATCATGGCCAATCTACATATCCATGTTAAACTAAATCAAATATAAGAGATTGAAGATAAATAAGAAAAATAACAATGAACTCAAAAGAACCGAACCAATGTTTCCCAGACCCTTCCCTCCATTTTTTTTTCCAATAATATTTCTGTATAATTTCTTGCTCCCCAATCTCCATAAAACCGCAGTCTTCTGCTTAAGTTCTACTACTTTCTTGTCACTCTTACAACTGATCTACAATTTAGGTCTCTTGTGCATATAATTAGTCACCCATTTGATAGATTTATCCCAATATATTAACAACAAAATATTCAATAGAAGAGCCAACAAAATATCTAAAAAGCAGTGAGACCTGATCATACTGTTGGCGCTTTTCATCATCCTTCAAAACCTACAATGCAGTTATCCAAAGGAGAAAATGTCACAAAACCAGAAGCCATTTCACTCATCACATGACAATTTAAAATTGAACTCTGGGTAGTAACAAGAACAACAACAGTACACCTCATACGCCACTGAAACTTCTTGAAACTTCTTTTCAGCCTCAGGATCATCTTTGTTTGTGTCTGGATGAAGCTTCTTAGCAAGCTGCAGAATATGGAAAAAAATAAAAAAAGCTGGAGCAGTAGAAAAAGCCAAAAGAAAGAATTATTTCAAACAAATAACTCATGCTTGTCAAGCATGTATGAAGAATTCATGTCAAGAGAGAATGAAAGAAAAATAGAGTCATCAGCAAGGAATCTATGTTGAGGCATGGAACATGTGCAGACATTAAAATATTACGAGAGGACATATTATCAAAAAGAAAATCATAAAAAGGTTAGCAATTGCAAAATTTAAACAGCAAAAAGTGGAAAGCCTATTTCCATATTATAAAATGCAGAACAAGTGATTGCATATGTAAGAGAAACATGATATAAAACAAACTATTTCTCATCCAATTCAAACAATTATTTTTAAGATATTGGGACATGACTGCAGTATTCACATGCAAGAATTTCAAAAAGTTTTAGTATCCACATGCTAAAAGGAAAATGAACAGTTTGCTAAGCATATGGGACAAGACTTGAAATTAAAAAAGAAAGTGGCAACGTGATCCCTTATAGCCAGGAAAGATATAAGAAATTGCATAGTTTTACCAGGAAATAAGTCAGACATTTACCTAAAATCATAATTTTTTTCTGCATAAATAGTTAAATACAAATATATTGACATGGGTTAAGTAAAACCTACCCCATAGTATGCTTTCTTTATTTCAGAAGAACTTGCGTTCTTACTCACACCAAGCACATTGTAATAGTCTCTTGCCAATGATGCTGAAAAGGAATTAAGGGCGGGAAAATCATTGACGAGCAAGGGACAATAAACAAATATTCATACATGGAAATACCAAAAGAGAATGCAGAACTAATTAAATCAAAGCAGTATTAACTTCAAGCCCCTTATGCTTCATCACCACAAGAAAATAGTAGACAAAATGCAAGCCGTGACTAACAAAAGCATCTTTCCAAATGCTTTTCAAAGTGCTGCAATTCTAAGAAGAATGAAAAGGAAGGAAAGCAAATTAAGGATAACTCAATAGTTTATACCTGACCCATGAATGGATCTAGATGTCCCCCAATAAGTATTTGCTACTCCCAATAGCAACCGCTTCAAATTCACACCATCTCCAACTGTAATAAGATGGGGGGGGGGGGGGGGGGGGGGGGGGGGGGGAGATCAGCAAAACAACACTTTACAAAAAATATCAATTCAACATCCCAAGAAAAAAAATGGGACCAATAATGGTCAAACTAATTAGAATTTAGAATATATCTGACTTGTTCAACAGATTTTTATTCCTATATATAACTACACAACCAAATTAAAAAATATAAAAGTAAAAAAAAAAAAAATTGTTAAAAAGAAAACTTAGAAATTTACTTTAGTGACTTTTACCACATACCATTTGGAGAAAAATTTTGGATAACTCTGGATGGATTGCACAATCCTGAATTCAACGTTCTATAGCCCCTTTGGCACACTCCTCCATATATCTGAGATTCACCCCCAAATAAATCAGAAAACTAATCAAAAAGTCCCACAACATTGTTCAAGCGAAGTTCACACAGAAAATGTCTAACAAGATTGAAACTAATGCCAAATCAAGGGACGAAAGAGAGATATTGTTGAATACATGTTCATTGGCGTGACGGAGGAGCTTTACGGGCAGAGATCGAAGGAGCCTAATGCCATTGGAGCGATACATTTGGGAGCTCTTCAATGGGAAATTGTGAAGCTTTGGAAGGAGAATTGGGGGTTTCTGGTTGCGAGGAATAACCCTTAAACCCCTTCCGAAAAACCCTAATTTTTTGAACTAGTGGAAAGTTCTAGTTATGCCTTGTGAGGAACGGAAAAAGGGGAGCGAGGCAAAGAGAGGTTGAATTAGGAAAAAAAAATAAAAATTTATTTTAATAGAAAAATGATAATATTAAATTTTAAAAAAAATTAAGTATTTATAAATAATATAAGTTTATTAAAAATAAATATTTAATATTAATTTTTAAAAATAATTTTAAGCATTTAAAAGCAATATAATTTTAAAAGTAATTTTGAGAATTTAAAAATAAATAATTTTACGTTTAACCCCAATCTAAGCAGAAGTTAAAAAATTGTCTCTGAATTAGCCCAATATTATTGGAGGAGGAGGAGATGCTGGCTATTGCGGCTAACACATTTATGCTTTCAAGTAAAAGGAAATAAAGTGAAATTATTTTTATACAACTATTTTTAATATTTTTAAATTTATGAAATAAATAAATAATTAGAGAATAATATAAGCCATACAATTTATAAATAAATAAGTAAATAATATTATAAAAAGGTATGATTAAAAATTGTTATATAATTCAAATTAAATGCAGGACTCTCTTTGGTAGAGATCGATCCAATTGTTCATCGCATTACCCTTTGTTACATCCAAACATTAACGTTGTTCAGCAATGGACCTTTAGCGAAGGATTATTTAAAATTCAATTAATCTCAATAACTTATAAATAACAATGGTAAAACAAGAGAAAGCAGATTAGTAATTTTTGAGAAATTAGAATTTCAAAAACAAGTGATAGGTTCTTGTCTTTGGTTACGATATTTGTATAATTTTTAATCAAATATTTAATAAACTTCTTTTTGAATACTAACAAGAATTTGAAGCCATATTCATCAAGATAATTGGTTTGTACGAATCTTGGTTAAAAAGTTTATTTATCATCGGGCTTCAAGATCACCTTAAAATAGAGCTTCTATTAACACAACTAGGTACATACCTGCAGATAGTGAATTTGGCAAAACTGCATGAACAAAAAGACATAGAATTAAATGCTCTATACCAAAAACCAAACAGAATAACCTCATATTCTACCCAACGAACTATTCCTATGGTTTGAACCTCATCTCTAAACAATCACAGAAAACCACCACGTCATCATACATTCAACCCATACACAAAATTCAAGAAACAACTATAGAAAAATGATATATGCAGAATTAAAGAAAAAAAAAAGAGAAAAGTTTGTGTTATTATTGCAACAAGTGTTACACTCTTGCTCATTGATGCAAGTCCCAGTGTTCGCTTTTCATAGCAAATAACAATTTGGAACAAATACCAAGAACTGACGAAGGGATTCACAATACATGTAACATTCGTATTTTATTCAAAATAATAAAAAAATAATTTTGGAATTAAGAAAAAAAAATTAGTTAAATCCATTTATCAGCCGAATATAATAAGTGAAATTATAAAATATTCTGTTTATTTTGCTCAACTTATAAAAAAAACTTAAATGACAAAGTAATAAAAATTTAACCAATTTTAAGAGGAAACATCAAAATAACATTAATATACATTATTCTTATAATGTACAAGATATTGACATTTGCAAAATACAAAATATAATAAGTTCTAATGAGCAGTCTATCCACCAAAAAGATTGATAAAGATACTAGTCATCCTCATGCCAACTCTCTATCGCCTTAATGTTGTCAGAATTGAAATCATCATATGATCTGAGATATCGATCGCCTGAGTCCGCAGTGGCTTGCCTACCAGTAATTCGGTCAAAAGTCCATTGAGATAGTCTTTCAAGATAGTCGTGATCATGATATGTGAATATGTAGATCACAGTTGTTAAAATTTTAACTGTGCCATGATAAAGGTACATGCACATGATATGGTGAATTCTATTGTTTACAAAGAAATCAAAAAGTACATTATAAGATAGTTTCAATTTTAGCATAATACAGTTACGAGGTACATTGTCAACATGTAAGATCAACTTAAAATAACAAAATCTATGGTACTCGTTAAATACATAGTTTAACCTACATTGTACAAAATCTATGTTACTCATAGATTTATGTTGACGAGGTACATTGTCAACATGTAAGACCAACTTAAAATAACAAAATTTATGGTACTCGTTAAATACATAGTTTAACCTACATTGTACAAAACTATCTATGAGTCTAATACTTTCTCTAGGTACTGTCATCTTGGTCTCCTAAAAGATTTATGTAAGGATGAGTCTCTATTTTCATTACCAAGCATGCATTCACAATTAAGTCAACAATACAAATAAGGAAATACAACAAACCATCATGCACAAGATCATTAATTATTCAGCTTATTACATTTTCTGTCTATTAACACTCATAATTCTTATTTCATACTTTTACTGCCCCTGAAATTCCTTGAGGTCTTCCTTAGTATAGATAGTTGCTGGATAATCGCAGCTATACGGTTACAACGTGTCGACCTGGCTCTTTTTAGCAAAAGCATGATCAAGTGTTTAAGTCAGGAAACATATGTGAAGCCTATGATATTCTTACTCTCATTTGTTATGCGCAATTCAAGAAGAGTATTCACCACCCTTATTTTTTTCAAGATTTTTCAATCGCTTCTATCTTCCACACCCCCAAGTGTATCTCTGAACTATCCATACTTGTCCTTATCATATTTCTTCCTCATTTCACTTCTCTTAACATATTTTTCATTTCATTTCTACATTTCTCATTATCAATTTATTATTCTTATTAGTCATTATGGTCTAAACTCATTATTTGTTATAACTTGAGCTCATTGTTGGTATCCTATCATATTATTCATCTTTTCATTTCTCCATTTTACTCAAGTTCATTACTATGTCACGTATAAATTAATCATTATTGAGGGTTTGTCACCCTTGGACTCAGTCCACTAGGTTAGTCTCTATGCTTGTGTGTGATAGTGTAAAGTACTCACCTTTACATTTATTTTTCAAGTGTCTAAGACGATCAGCACTAGACTCAGTAAAAGAGATGGATGAAATTGCTATAGGACTTAGAAAATTATTATTATTATTTTGAAAATGTATTGATTAAGTCCTGTATCAATGATTTGATTCAAACTTATAATGCCCCCCATATTTTGAAGTACTCATTGAAATATTGCATTTGAAACAAATTGAATAGAAGTTTTATTATTGTTATCCTTTTATGAATTGCAAAAAATGTATTATGCGAAAATGATTATTTGAAAATAATTAAAGTGTTACATACCACTTTCTTAGTAACAAGATAAAACTCTTCTTACCTTGAAATGAAAGTTTAGTGAAGGGTTTGTAAGGGATCTTGTTCAAAAAGGTGGATTCTTCTTAAATATCATAAGAGATCTTATTTAGAGAAGAAAAAACAAGAAAATAACCAAAGAAATAGAGACACAAGCTTCAAAAACTTACAAGCTTTAATCAGCGAAAGGTTGAGATTTTTCAAAGATTTTCTAAGAAAATGAAGAGAGGGTCAGAGAGAATGAAGAAGAGTCGTAACTTAGATTATAATTCAAGTTTCTTAACTTGGAAACCCTTAAATACTCCTCAACTGGCGACATTATTGCTACAACGAGCCAATTCTTGCTGCAGTGAAAGATTCTCTCACTGCAGCGAAAAATCAGACAAAATTACACCTTACTGTCAGTCATTCTAGCTAGAGCGAGAGCTCTCGCTCCAACGAGAACATCCTCGCTATAACGAGAAAGCGTTAGAGAGCCTAATTCTAAACGCTCATTTCTCGCTATAGCAAAACACATCTCGCTACAGCAAAAAATTCTGCAACTCACATACCTAAAACTTTTCTAATTTCAAGTAACAAGCATTAACAATTCACATAAAATACAAAATTAATGAATAACAAAATAAGGGTGTTACAATACAGTTACATGGGATCTTCCTAAAATTTCACTACATGCTTTTTCAGAATATCCACACTCTTCCACCTTGCGAATGCAAGCTACAATTCACAAAAAACAAATGAGTGTACTAGTCGATAGCATAAGTACACATAATTTCATCAAACCAAGTGTTATGTCAATACTATAGATTGAACCAACAACATTACCTGAGTTTTGTGTTTATGTTAGGAGTGAAGCTCATTTGAATTGCCACCAAATTTGTAAGGGAGTCCAATAACCATTCAGGGACAACAGTTTATAGCAGATGTGTTTGTGTTGGATATAGAGGGAGAGGACATGACACTTGGTGTGCAATGGTTGCAAACACTTGGCCCAATCACAAAGGACTTCCAGGAGTTGACGATGAATTTTGCACATAACGGAGCTCAAATTTCATTGTTGGGTGAAAACTCCGTATCCTTGCAACATGTTAACAATAATCAACTGCACAAATTAGTTTCTATGGAAAATATTTCTTCTTGTTTTTAATTACAGGTTTTATAAAATTTTGACACGCAAGATGTTAAGATACCAAAGGTAGTAACGTTAGTGCTGGGCCACTTTATTAATTTGTTCAAAGATCCACAAGAGTTGCCTCCAAAACGTACAATTGATAGCCCTATCAAGTTGCTGCCAGGATCATTATCGGTTAATATCAAGCCGTATTGGTACCCCTATTACCAAAAAATAGTAATTGAAAGACATGTAACAGATATGTTACGCACTCAGATAATTTGCCCAAGTCAGAGTTTGTTTTTGTCCCTAGTCTTACTTGTCAAAAAGAGAGACGATTCATGGAGATTCTATACAGATTTTCAAGCATTGAATATAATGACTATCAAACATAAGTTCTTGATGCCAACAGTGGATAAGTGGCTAGACGAATTACATGGTAGTTCCATATTCTCGAAAATCAATCTCCGTTATTAGTTCTATCAAATCAGGATGCGCGAAATTGACATTTCCAAGACGACATTTAGAACTCATAATGGTCATTATGAGTACACTGTGATGCCATTCTGACTTTCAAATGCACCCACAACTTTCCAAACAACAATGAATGAGTGCCTATGCCTGTTTCTCCTTAAATTTATGGTAGTTTTTTTTCGATGACATGTTGATATATAACTCAAGTGTGCAGCAGCACATT